AGCGACCTGACTTGTACGGAGTTGGAAGGTTGCAAAATAGTTCGGTCGACAGTGGCACCATTTCCTGAAAATAAAGATGTGATTTAGACAAGATAAGTAATAGTAGATGGAATATTTGTGACGAGGCATAATGGCATAAATAATTATTTTTTTTAATATCACTATTATATAGCTTTAAATAACAATGAACGAAAAATTCAGTGTGTAGCAAAAAATAAATGCAATGTAAGAAAAAATACCGAAGCAGAATGATCCTAGTGAAACTTAAGACAGATAACCGGGCGAGTCGAATTCGTAAACATAGAACATTCCCAGTAAATAGATCTAAGTTAAAACCTATTTTTAGGCCGAATCTTTGAGAAAACTGTGAAAAAAACTTTCCTGGCAGTTAGCAGGATGAGGGAAATGAGGATGATAGTTATTTAGGTTGTAGCAGCAATATTGATAAGTGATGAATAACCAAACGTTTTCTCAAATATATAAAAAAATTATTGGAATTGTTACAATAATAGAAAAAAGAGCACTATAATCTTTTTAAAATTTGCTCAGTCTGAAGTGTAACCATAATAAAAGAATCTGGCGCTTAGGCAGGCACACGATTAGACACACACCTGCAAGCATGATTCATTGCAAGGTCTCAACGACGCGATTGAGCAAGGAAAAAGAAGCCGAAATGCGCAGTTGCTGTATGGCAGATAGATGCATGCGGATCGCATGTCCTAGCAAATCTTATAGAGAACTTGACACTGGATTAAAGCGAGTTTCAACTACTACTTACACCTATTTTGGCATCAGACTGTTGCGCTTTCACGAGCAGATAGGTATGCATCTGTGGGTAAAGTTGAGGACAATCGAGATGGACGGAAATGCGTACAATGTTGGGTTACTTCCTTGGACCTCCTCAGATGATACTCAACAATATGTTGATTTAGGTGAGGGTCAAAATTTGCATGCTATGAAAAGATTCAACGTCCAATAAGGCAGAAATATCCGTAAGCTGGAGCAAAATAGGGCTGTGTCAAGGGGAAAGTAAGCTTAAATATATGAGAAAGGATCGGTCAGGATTGCCTCAAAGGGCTATACTTCTTTTATCATAACAAGAGCATGGCTTAGCAATAAAATTTATTGCTTGAGACAAATTATCTCTGGTCAATATAGCAAAGAATATTTTATGAAGCTGTCCTGAATACATTCGCTTAGGCATATGAGCTACAGTATGCACCTCTAAAATTTGTCACATAATGTTATCAAAAGTGAAATATTTCCATATTTATAGAGTTGAAATATGAAAATTATGCATATTTTTAAAATACAGTTTTAAATAAAAAGAAGAACCGACTAGAAGCTGCCAAAAAGTTAAATTCAATTCAATTAAGTCGGCACAAGTGGCCGTGACTAAATGGAATTTGAGAAGCGTTGTAGAGTAGCGTATGACAGACCCAAAGTCACTGATAAGCCTATATTCTTAGATAATTAGCTAAAAATTGAGTTGATACTGACCTGTAATAAATAAATCGATTAATTAAAGATTAGATCTTAAGTTTGCAAAAGGACAATGATTAAGAAGTAGGAGACCAAATATGATTATGTATGATTTGATTTAAAACAATTTAGTGAAATAGAGTGGTTTGAAATTGGATATTGGTAAAAAACAATATAATAAACATATTTATAAATAAATAAGCAGTCTCAAGAATAGAGCGTTAAAACTTTGCAGGTACAGGTCAACGAATGAAAACATAGCTCAAAAGTCCTAGGAGTAAAAATTGAAATTATAATAGAGAAAACATTTTCTTTAAATCCTTGCGCCAAATGTCATTCACGGTTTTCCCCTTGTAGGAAAAGGGATTTTCTTCAAAATGCTTTAACTTAATCAAGTCTTCATGATTTTTAAAATTATTTTCTATTTATAATTGGCGTAGTGGTTAACACGTCGATATTATACGCTGCACTATCGTGATTCGAGTGCTGTTAGGGGTGCTGAGGAAGCCTAGGTGAGGTCGAAACCACAGTACCCTCGGGATAAAAATAACTTTTTGGTTATGTGAAATTTACTGGAAGGGTAAGGTATATCAATATCATTGTGGAAAAATTCAACTATCAGTCCTTTATCACCTTAACGAAAGAAAGTGAATAAATATAATTGATAATCCCAAGTTTATCATCCAATTGATCGTGAGTACTTTTAACATTATCTTGTTTTAAATCAAATAAACGGAAAATATTTAAAATAGAACATTTATCATCCAAGTAATGGTGTCGCGTGCTGTATTATACTAGCATGCCTTTTAAATGGAAATATTTTTTCTCCATATTAAATGTGTTAGATTATGACTATTTTCCAATCATTTACCTATTTCAATCTTGCAACACAATCATTTGCAGATGTGATGCGTTGTGTTTGCTTAAAATATACCTATTGAAGACGGTAAATATGAAGACCAAGATGGTGTGGCCTTCTGTTCGGTTACAGTCTCATTAACCTTATAGTAGTGATTCGACATAGTTTTCGCAACCAACACTATAGATATCGAAGACGTGGATCCAGAAAAATGCTTCTTCAGTACTTATGTATAGAACGTTTTTTTATCTGCGAACTATAATGAAATCTTTAATAAATCAATAGTCAGTGAAGCTTAAACGGTTCGTCTCCGAATGGCACAGATAGGCTAATTGCTTATGTAGTTCGCCAATAAATTAGGCTAAAGGAATTTTATTTTATGTTGCTTAAATTACCAAATTATACATGTTATAAAGACAGCTAATCCTTGCATGACAGCATAATGGATCTTATGATATACCTTAATGCTTTTTACGATCAGAAGAAAAAAATTGAGCTCCCAACCTGTTATTGTTGAATTGCCACCTGAAACTGTCGTTGAACTTGTAGTAGAAACTGTAGTTGCAAGGTTATCAAGGGCCATCCGCACAGCTGAGGCAAAGGTCTCAGCCTCCTCGAGGTTCGTAAAATTGAGACCATAGACCTGCTGCTTAGAATCACGCCATTGATGGAAGGTGGGTCGGGCCAAGTGGTACTTAAGGCCTCGCGGTATTGAGCAATTGATTACTACCTGAATATTTCAAGAGTTGAGTTTTTCAAACGAAAAAATTATGTGGAGACATAAATTAATGAAGATAACGAAGGTAATGCTAAATTTTTACAAGCTTATGAAGGAGATATAAGGCAGGTGTGACAGCTGAATAAAAAAATATAGTTTAAGAAGCCAGCCAGCTCATTACACTGATTTACTGGTAGTCTCGAAACCCTACTCTAATACGAATGATATATCTTAAATTAAAAGCAAAATATATGTATATCGTCTTTAAATGATAAAACAATTAAATAATCCGAAGATTCAAGATTCTAGTAACTGTCATTATACCTAAATGTTAGCTCACAAGGGGCAATGAACGAATGAAGTATAAGATGACAAGAACGAGGATATAATATTGGTGATTAATCCAGGGTAGAAGAAAGACCGCAATTTTTTAGACGACAATTGGTCAAAGGATCGGATCCACTTGTCTCTTTGACGAGTTATAGTGTGATGCTAAGAATGGCAAGGCTCACTGAGGATGCCGGAGAAACGTCTAAGAATGTACCATGTCGACGGTCCGACTGGAAATTATCGCGCATACTATGGACTCCGGACAAGGTGCATTCCTCTAGGTCTCCTTACCAATAGGACCAAGTTACGAAAACGAGATCAAACAATTTATTTGCAGCGTAAGGAGACTGCAACCATACAAAAGGCCACATCATCTTGGTCTTCATACTTTCGCTTATATATTTAAGTTTAAAGCTCAAAGAAAAACATTCATAAATATTAAACAAAGGCGAATTATCTCAACTACCCTTTAGAGGAAAAGCGATTAATAGAATAAAACGATGATCAAATTCTGTGCGTAATTTTTTTGGATGCTTATGAAACGTAGGAGAGAAAGTTTGAGTCGTAAGAGAAAATTAGGACCATAAATTAAAGACAGTTATAGAAGCTGTTTGAACTTGTTTTCGCAACTTAGTCATATTGGTAGAAAGACTTATAGGAACGCACCTGTCCTGAGTCCATTGTATGCATAATTATTTCCAAAGTCGGACCGTGGACGTGGTACATTCCCAGACGTTTCAGCATCGTCAGTAAGTTTTACCATTCGTAGCACCATATTAGAACTCGTCAAAG